CTTACACTGTTCTCATCAGAACTGGTTCAGTTCTGCGGAAGAACTGAACAGGTTCTGATGAGAACAGTGTAAGCGTTCAAGCAAACCGCTTCTGAAGATGCAAGCCACTCGTGCTTGCGAAACGTCAGGAAGAAATTCTACCGAACGACGGCCTAAAATGCCGAAAAACCCATTAGTTTCACGAAGAAAAACCGTTTGTATTTCCATGTAAAAAATCTTTCAATTTCAAAGCTGGCAGATTCGCTGCAATGTTTAGACTTATATCAAAAACACCCTCTATACTATACAGGGTGATTCGGGTGATTTCCCACTCTCATCTCATTGGTGATACGTAAGAACAAGGAAATCCTTCACTAAATCTCACTAAATCCCCATGAAATGTGGATATTGCAGGAAAATATGTTAGGAAATTGTCTAAGAAGCGCAATGCCTGGGTTTCACTTTTCATACTTTTGTCTTTCGAATGGGTGAAATCGTTGATTTATGAGACAACAGTAGTCATCGCCAAGTCGCCCTGTATTTGATTGAATAAATACACTTTTCCCGCATCGTGGAATATTTCGCAGGCAAATTAATGTTGTGTTTGGCTTCCATAAACATAAACAAACATTTACAAATGCTAAATAAATATTAGGGCATTTTACTTCCCTTTTGGGACGCGAATTGCCACCCGAAAGTTAAATCGCATATTTTTCAATCGAAATAATAAAAAAATGCTGATCGGAATGGGAAAAATAGATGACTGAAAATTCGCTGAAAACAATCACCGACATTGAATTTTCGCGTCGGAAAACTGAAAATTAAAACCTGCCCTGAAGTGCCAGCCTTAATTGGGAACTAAACGAAAGCATTGCGGGGCTTTAAGCCGTGAGTTCTAAGCCTGAAACAGCAGGTTTAAGCCTGGCGGATGTTTAGCCAGCATTTATAAATATTGACTTAAACCAACCAGGAAATCTAACGGAAATCCTAAAATTGGGCGTGGTTTTCAAATGGAAAGTATTATTATTCTCCCAAAATTCCTGCTGCTTGAAAGTCGAGGAAGATTTTCTACGCGAACTTTAAAAATCTCGTACATAAATTTGCAATGTTGCAATGCAACAAACTTTGCACAAAGCCACGACTGGCGGACACTTATTAAATTATTCTTAGTAGTTTGCAGCCGTTAAATTTACAGTAGTTTTTCTAACATGCCACGATTAAAAGAACAACTCGCCTCCACCTCGCCGGATCACGTTGTTCTTTCACTCGTCGAGTAGCCAATTTTTAACATTTTTATTGATGTTGTTCAATATTGTTTTCCATCCATAACAGACCTAAAAACCAAATGTACCACGCCGTTTCAACAATAATGTCCATGAGGTAACTAACATTCCGCACTACCATTGGCTGAGCACTGGACTTCTCAAGTTAGCGACAGTTTCACTGTGGAAACTTTGGTTGAGAATTCCAGCGCTTTGTCTTCATATTCACCGGCTCTGACTGCACCCATCACACAACCTTTACCAAGCACCAAGGAGTTTTTCGTGAACTTTGCCAAAAATCTGTAGTTTTCTGCGCTTTTGGGCGTGATGAAAAAATCTTCAGGTCAGTAAAACCACCGCTGAAGTGGAACGTCCGGAAGACCTTTTTCCCCCACGGCCTAAAAGCCCGAGAAACCCGCCAGTTTCAGCACTATTAGTGATTCAACTGTAAAAAATCCTTGGTATTCATATAAATTTAGCTTAGTCGGGCAATCGACTATTTATTTCTCGTCTATATGAAAATCAATACAAACCGAAAAATAATGTAAAACTATAACGAACTGAGCTTTGGAGCGCTGTTAATATGCTTTCGAGCAAATGTGATCGACATTTTTCCTGTTTCAATTTGTCAAAGTTTTTGAATTGCGCTTGCAAACATGCCTAAACAATTTAGTCAAAACTGGTTCCAATAATTACCATTCAAATGCCGCTTCGATTACCATTTTGTTAATATCATTTGCGGTGTGTTCCACCAAATCATTCAGTTCTTCTGCAGCTTTTAATGTCACCTTATGCCTGTACGTCTGTCTGAGTCGCAGGAAAGAGTACGTATTACACAAGTGATGCACTTTGTCTACTTCTATGTAATTCGTCTCAATATGTTTGTTAATTTACATTGACTGTTGTGGTTTTTGCATTATTGAGTTGCCACGGTTGTACACCTGAAACCCTTGAAAAAGTGATCAAACGCGCCTTAATTTCACTAATTGAAGCCGCTAAATGTAGGATAGAGTAATTTAATTCAGCCTGCATAGAAATAGCAGTACAAAATGGCAAATCCACTTTAATATCTTGTTTGTGCATCTGCTTGTCGATGCTATTTTCGTAGTCGGTTACAAATGTATTCTCCGGAAGAATTTATTCCGAAACACGTTTTATCCATTTTTTTCCTAAAAATGTCCCCGCTAAGTGAGTGCTAGATATTTTTCTGAAGCAACAACTGATTTAAATGTATCGATTTCGGTCCCTTTTAATGTTGTCTTTGCCATTTGTTGGTGAGCATTTTTGAAATAAATGTGGGGTATTCGAAGCGCGTATGAACGAAAGGCACATTAATTAAGTGAATGAATAACTGTTATTGGCCCTCTCAGGTGTTCAGCCAGAAGCATTCAATTTGGGCAAAATGCACGTCGCTAATTTTCTGTTTATTTAGGAAAAACGGAGCAGCTGCTACCAAAGAACTGCTCAAAGGGGATCCGGACGCTCACAATTTCCAAGAGAACACGTACAAGAAAATCACACCATGCGATGTTTGCTCACAGATTTTACGAGGTAGGTTTTGCCTGATTATTGATGTTTTTGCTAATGAAAACTTACGCATTTATTTAGCCCCAGCTGCAATAGTGGAAAAACACCGCACTTTGTTCCAATGCTTCTTCAATTTTTCGAATTTTGTTTGGCATTTTCTCCTGCGAGGACTTTTATTTAAGAAAATAAATTATTAGGGTTAAATTTAAGGAAGAATACGATCGATGCAAAATTCGATAATTTTCATGAACGCCTTGCACCGTCGCCATCAAATCAATAATAATCCATCTCCCCTGGCAACGCCACGGATGTTGTGTGTTGTTGCCCGGAAGTGCCGCCGCGTTGTCTTCTGTCACAGCCATGAATTAGCTATGTTGCCACTTCCGAGCTGGGTGTGTCCCGCCTACCAGTGTTGCCGCTCCGTTTTCCCAGGTTGCTTACAAAATACTTTGTATGATGGCAAACATTAACACGCATATTGTGAATATTTAGCCTTCAGTATGATTAAATTTGTAACTCTCTTGCTACTCGCCCAATTTGGATCATTGAAAGTTTGTTCTAAAGCGAGGAATTTTGACTAAAAATCGTAATTTGTAAACTTGAAATCAGTCGAGAAATTTGAAAGTCATAAGAGTTTGAAGCTGGAAAAGACGATTTTTTCAGGCAAATGTTAACAATGTTTTCTTTTAAGGTCACATTTTTTTTTTGGAAAAACAGTTTTTTGTGTGTAGAAATTTTCTGCGTAACTGTTAATAGGGKGCCGATGTGAGAATTTTGAAATTGGTTGAAAAACGTGCGATTTTSTATRAAAACTGCATCTCGGAAAATTGCAATCGGTTCAAAAACTTGGATGGTTTAAGGTCAAAAAAACGATTTCCCGAACAAAATAGGAAAATTTGTGTTTGCAACAGTTTGGAAGCAAAAAACTCGCAAACTTGCACATACTTCCACTCTTCACCCTGTAACTCGGTCAGYTATCAACATTTTTCCGAAATTCAAAAACTCTTCAAACGGTTTGGCGTAAAAAGCTGTTTGTTGTCGATAAAAAAATGTTTTCAAATTTAATTTTTTTTTAWTTTAAAAAWTTTTTGAATTTTTTTTAAATCGCAAGTTTGTAAATTTTTCACTTAAGAGACGAATTTAGACCAAAATGCCACTTTTTATTAACGCCGTTCTCGCATATAGTTTCGGAGAAAACGGAATTTGGAGTTTGAGATACCAAGTTCAACTGCCATCCACATTGATTACACACTTATTTGCCCATAACTCCGCAACTGTTGGCACTATTTTAAAAAGGAAAACTGCCCTGGATTGCCACGGGTATTTGCTAGAGTTCCGTTGTCTTGACAAAAATCGACATTGGCAACGGTTTGGGAGATAATGAGCCCTGAATGTTGGCAACCCTTCGACGGTTCCATTTGCGCATACCGCCACTCTTTTGCCCGTAACTTCGTTAAATGTCAACATATTGCAAAGGTTTCAAAAGCCCCAAAAAGCCCGAAGAAGCAGCTATAAAAACTATCCGAGCCTCATATTGGATAGCGGCAACAGCAAGGGAGTAGAACGAGTTCGAACTCAGAGTGTGCAACCTTCTGGAAAAAAAGTTGACATTGAAGTGTCTTCCTTGGTGTGAACAGTATAAATAAACAAGTAATATTAAATTGCAGCTAAATTTCGCGAAAGAGGATGATCCCTAAATTCACTCGAATATTTTTGTTAGCTCTAAAGTGCCCGTTCTTAGCACGGTGGCAATATTCCAAGTACAATTCCAATATTTACATATTTAATGCTGTTGATATCAATCGGTGAGATTAAGAAGAATTATGCAGAAGATTGTCGGTTCTCCACTTGGCTTTGATTATAAATGTGCCCCATCAGTTTCTTCTCGTCTTAGTTTACTCTATCTGTAGTTTAGAGCAACTTTAATGAATTTCCAGGGCATACCCGGCAAGGCCTAAAATGCAGAATATGCAAGATGAACGTCCATCTCGACTGCCAAAAAGACGCCCAGAAATGCCAGACGAAGGCCAAACTGCTGCGAAGACAAAAATCGACGTCCGAAATTGAAACCAGAGTGGCAGACGCCAATCCTGATGATGAAAGTAAGTTGAAAGTGCAAAATTTGTTTGGAAAAAAGCTGCATAACTCAACGGTCCCGAGCTGGAGAGGAGATTTTTTTATTTCACTCCCATCTTCCTCGTATCGAACACAAATCGGTTTGGCTGAGCAAAGCGAGAGCGTCTTGAAAAACTGGCAAATTTCGCTTAAAATCGCTGATGCAGCGCCGAGAGGCGCATTATTTGCAAATATAAAGTTTAATACTCTCGCTCTCAGACTTCACATTTCTCGGGGCATATTTTCGATCCGCTGCATATTTCAAGACGAGTCAAAAGTGCCCGATCTGATGCACAACATATGGAAATGTGTGTGAAAAGAGGACTCAAAAGTTTAGACAGTTTGGAGCGAAACTCGCCGGAGTTGTTCGCAGGCAAAATCTGAAGCTGAATAGCAGCAGTGGAGAATCTAAATGTTTTACTAATTTTGCGGTTTAGTTGGCGGCAGGGATGTTTTCAGGGGCGGATCCAGCTTTAAACTCAGGGGGGTCTTCTGTTGTCTATGAAATTTCAAAAATGATCGTCGTTTTGCGCAAGGGTGGCGCAAGATTATTGCAAAATTTCATGTTTTCCGTCCCGTTTTGCATGTTTCTCCGAAGCAAAATGAGCAAGAACGCTCGTTTTTACATC